CTCCCTCCAGGTAAGCTGTGATCTATTCTGCGCAGATTATTATGTTTAATTAGCTCTTTAATGGATTGAGGAAGAGAACTCAACTCAACATTTAATGTTCAACTAGGAACAGATAAATCTCTAGATTAAGCGATGTTAGAATGTATACCATTCACAGCTATATCAATTTCATCAGTAGATTTAAAAGTAAGCGGGGTAGGAAAAATATTGTCACTAACACTGTACGATATTTCTTCCTGTTGACGTGCTGGTACTTAAAGTATTTAATTTTTTTTATATTTTATAAGTGATAGCGATAACCATAGCAATTCCGTTAGGCGATTCGATTCGGTATATTATTAGGCGTATTTATCAGGGAGGGTTTTAGTATATAATATGCTAGCCGAGTCTCAAGGTTTCACCCGCGTTTCGATCGGTCGCTTCAGATTTATCAGTCGGTAAATCCTATTTCTTCTTTTTCAGTTTTTTTTAAGTCAGTTCTATATTTTATTAAAAGTTATCTTATATATAAAATTCTCGTGTCGCGGTGTTTGTGGTTAAACTCCTCCGAAACGGCTTTTCCGATTCTCATGAAATTTTGTGTGCATATTGGGTAGGCCTGAGAATCGGACATCTATTTTTCATTCCCCTAAATGATAAGGGTAATCCACCCTTAATTGTTTTGCTCAATTTTAGATATTTTTTTTATTTTTTTTTATGATACAGCAATAGTAAATACATATAACCCTAAATATTCACCCTTCTACCACCAACCCCTATTTTTTTATGGCGGTACGAAGTTCGCTGGGTCAGCTAGTTTAAATATAAAAAAGAAGCCCTAGCATGAGCGATGGGTGAGGCGCTGGCGTTCCGTTTCGAGAATCTCTTCAAAATGTGGTCTGTTATCTTGAATGAACACATCTTCTCGCGGCGCAGTTATATGTACTGTTCAATTTACGGAACGCGAAATTCTGAAAAGGATTAAATCTCTGGACATCTACAAGGGCGCAGGTCCTGATTTGATTCCCGCAATTTTTGTCAAGCGTTGCGACTCTGTGTTGGCGTTTCCATTGAGCCTTATCTTTAATCGCTCTTTGAGGGATGATTGTTTTCCGGATGAATGGAAGAAAACAAGGATTATTCCTTTATTTAAGAAGGGGGAACCAAACCAGACGCACAACTATCATCCCATTGCTATCCTTTCCTGTATGTCCAAGTTATTTGAGTCTCTAGTTCATCCCATTTTATCTGCACATGTTAATACTTTCCTAACATCTAAACAGCATGGATTTAGATCGGGCCGTTCCACTGTAACTAATCTGGCCTGTTTTGTTTCTGATTTAACCGAAGAACTTGATAAGGGTTTTGAAGTGGATACAATTTATACCGACTTTATGTGCCTTTGATAAAGTCACCCATCATATACTGTTAAGCAAACTTAGAGACTTTGGTGTAGAGGGGTCCCTGTTGCATTGGTTCAAATCATATTTGGCAAAAAGACTTCAATTTGTTAGTGTTCATGGTCATGAATCGCAGCCTTATTATGCTACTTCTGGTGTACCACAGGGATCTCATCTTGGGCCTATCTTGTTTTCGGTATTTATTAATGATATCACATAGGAAATTATTTACTGTAAGTTTCAGTTATTTGCAGATGACTTGAAATTTTATAGGGTTATACGCACTACTGATGACATTGAACTCGTTCATGATGACTTGAACAGAGTGAAACAGTGGTGTATTCGTAACCAAATGGAACTTAATGTAGAAAAATGTCACCATATACAGTTTTCAAGAAAGAAAAAGTCATTACAGTCATCTTATGGTATTAGTGGAATTTTTTTACGGACGGTTGGTGTGATGAAGGATCTTGGCGTGATCATGGATAGCGAATTGCGATTTGGGGCGCATATCGATGCAGTAGTTACTAAAGCAGCACGTATTTTAGGATTTTTGAAGCGCAATACAAAGAAATTTAAACTGGTTTCTACTAAACTCGTTTTGTTTAATGCGCTAGTCCGGAGCCATCTTGAATATGCTAGTGTGGTGTGGTCTCCATTTTATGCAGTGCATTCTCAGCGAGTTGAAGGGATACAGCGTTCTTTTACAAGACACTTGGCATTCTTTTCTCAAGGCATTTCTCATAGATCTTGTTACGGTCACCGTTTGAATTTTTTCAAAATGAATACCCTGCGAGACCATCGTAAACTTCACGACATGACATTCTTATATAAAGTTGTAAACAACGGTCTCACTTGCGAAGATCTTTTATCGCGCATTGCACTTAATGTGCCACACACTGTCCCGCGATTTCCTATCACCAAACAATTTTATACTCCACGCTGTCGCACTAATATTGGTCTGTCCTCTCTAATAGTAAGAATGTGTAACGAGTACAACATGTTAAATGGTATTTCGGGCGACCTGGACATCATGCACGACTCCTTACTTTCTTTTAGATCTGGAGTGTTGAAATCACCTGCCAAATGAATTAATTTTAATTGTACCTAATGCTTATTTTGCTTAACCGATTTCATGATTTTTCGATTCACTGTATTCTTTTAATTTTAATTTGCATTTTAATTATAATTTGGTTTTTAATTTTGATTTTAATTTTTAATTTTGATTTTAATCATAAATTTGTTCTTTTCCTCTAAAATTGTAATTGTTGACGTTGATTAAGACAATTATAAATGTTGTACATGCCTTTAATAAGTGTGCACATCAGGTACTATTATTGTGAATTTTGTATTTGTTTTTTGTATGTGTATGCTGTTGGCGTGGCTAATAAATAAATAAATGATGATAATATTTGTTTTAAATAATAGTTAAATCTTAAAGTTCACTACTTATTCAGTCACATCACAACGTAAACGGTCTAAAAGTTATCTAAATATGAGATGATAATATTATTTATTAGATTATAAAAGGAAGGTAAGTTGATCAATAAATCAAGTACCCTAAGTAAGTACCTACTTCTACTTCATCATCATCATGACGGTACTTATCTAAGGTACTTGATCAATTGATCATAGATTACTACTTTCTTTTAATATCTAGGTACCTACCTACTTAGTTTCCTGGAATTAATTTCGAAGACCTTACAGAACGGCTGAAAAGAAATCCTCGGAAGTAAGTAGGTATAATATCAATACTGTTGATAAGGTATATATTTAGTTACATTCTTAAATTATTAATGATTTCTTTAATCATAGTAATACAGATAGATGAATGGTATTAGTTTTGAGTAGCTTCATAATAATGCCTTGTCTTGCAAACTAGATGGCGCTAGTGGTAGTTGAATGCCCGTCCGTCAACGACATTAAATACCCGTCTACACAATATTATATTTTGTTTTGAGGGTTTGTATGTTAGTGATTTTACTATCGAGACGAATGTGTACTAGAGTACATAATTTATATATTTAAAAAGATTCGTAAAAAATATTAAATTAGATTTGAAAAGTTGACACAGGCATTTTGTTGTTGAGCATAGTCAGCCGTGTTCGTTAAGTGATTTTGTTTTATCGAAATATGTAATGTCTCCTAGCGCTTATTATTGACATGATATCTGGAGCCTGGGACAGAGCGGTAGGCTTTGAACTTAGCATAGCGCATGGCTGTATTTACTTATCGAAAGATAACCAGGCAGGGCAAGAAATATGAATTCGGCGCCCTTGAAGTGTAGTTCAGTTCTCATTTTGAGAATAGGTAGATATGTGTACTTATTTCTGTGCTAGATATACTACTAGGTGTATTTTTTGGATAGTAGATGATCTTCAAATGAATACATACAACTGGTAACATAAAGGATAGGTTAGATTATCAGTTGTATTTTTGAGGACCAAATTACAGATTTTTGCCGGTGCGGGTTGGTGGGTACTAAAGACTGCAGATGCAGCCGGGACCAACGCCTTGACGTGCCTTCCGAAGCACGGAGAAGCTCGAGATAGAAAATTTTTGGTCACTCATACTATGTCCGATCACTGCGAATGTTGCTTGACTTCCACAATCGCAGTCCAACGCGCTAACCATTTGTGCCATCAAGCTATTCCTCCATAGTATATATAAAATGCACGAAAGCGCTTTCGTTATGCGATGCGTTGCGGTGCGGGTGCAGCCCGCCCAATAATTTCTGCTGCTGCATTTCGCCATCGTACATCGCGACAAAAATTTCATCCCCATCATCTTGATGCGTGGCTATCCACAACCGTGCGTTTTTGTCGAAATTTTTACCACGTACGACAAAACTGTGGAATATATTGTCGCCAGCAGTGTTTCCGGACCAATACGACCCAAAAACCTTCAAAAAAAGAGCGTACTCCTTCCTTAAAGGCCGGCATCGCATTTGTGATACTCCTGGTGTTGCAAGTGTCCATGGGCGACGGTGATCACTTACCATCAGGTGAGCCGTATGCTCGTATGCCACCTATAACATAAAAAAAAAGTTCGCGAGCCTTAACGCAATGTTTTCTGTTAGGTAATTGTATTAAAACAATTTTTATTTTATTAAACACTGGGTAAGTAGTTAAGTAATTCTTTCTCATTTTAAGTAGACTATAAATAAGTAGTTGGAGTTTTGGGAGTTAAAACAAAAATAAAAAAGCAAAAATAACATTATTTTGACTATATTTCAATAAAAATGCAGATGGAAATAAGGAAAACTTATAAGAAAAAAATGAAAAAATGTCATAAACAAGCTTTAGCCTTAATTTGTTTTGTCCATAAGAAAATAGAATACGCAGTCAATTTTTTGGAAGATTAACTTAAAATTGTAATTAAATTAAAAAAAATTAAATACTTAATTATAACTGAAATAGGTACTAGAGTTTTTAAACTAATGCTTGTTACATTAAATGACTGATGATATATTACTAACATTAAGTTACAATATTCGTACTTAAATGACGTTTTAAATACAAAAGAAATTAAATAAATCAACTTTTAATGGTTTATAATTCGTAATGAACTGATAATAAATAATCTTCGCGAACTTTATGAAAAAAAAACGCTTACAACTAGGTAGTTCCTTAATATTAGGTACAAAATTATTATCTTTTCGTGGTCACGATACGACTCTCTTACAAGTGGAGAAAAACTGAAACTAACATAAAGTAAAAATATAAACAAAAAAATACCATCTCGGTTCCATAAAGCTGTCGATAATAAACACAAAACCACAGGTAATGGCCAAATGTTTTATTGGTACAATACAATATCATAGATCTGTTTACAATTAGTATAACAAAAATAGAATGATGTACGTGTCGCTAGGTTACAGTCTCTTGGTAAGAATCGAAAGCGTATCTATATGTGGTTGTTTCCATCAGAATTTCTCCTAATCGAATCACTAATATTGGTCCCTTAATTAAAACTTTAAACTTTGTTATATAAATATTATAAAATATCACACTTTATTCAAAGAAGAAACTATTCTACGTCCAAACTAATCACTTAGCTCTGTCAAGTACAAAAAAGTAATAATAACTGTGCCAATTTGAATTTTTATATTCAAAAGAGACAATAAATAAACAATCTATTTCGATCAACTAAAAATTAAATATTATAATCGATTTGTTTCGTTATAAAGTAAAAGGCACTCTTTGTGAGGGGGCGCGGGGCGTGGAAGCGCGGGTTAGAGAGCCGTCGCGCCCCACAGCGATCTAAACATGCGTCTTTATGTTATATATAAGCAAGTTTTATCTTTACAATTTCATGAGCACTAGTTCTCGGGAGTTCGGCGGGCTGTGGCCGCGGAGTTCTGTCATTTTTTGCCAGCGCTCAGGCGCGATCTGGCTTCACGTCGGCCGGGAGGGACTGGGCTGCGCTCCGAGGACGAAAAAAAACAATCACCAAAACCCAAACGGGTTTCGGACTGACTGCCCGCCCTCATTGCACGACGCAAAACGAAAAAGTCCTTTGCGGAGCCGCTATAGACGCGGGATCAGTTCGCTTCTCGGTGTGCCGCGGGTGATTGAGATCGCAGAGGCCCGTGCGTTAGTTTCTTAGTGGCACCGCGGCGCACACGAGTCGACTCACGACAACGACAGAGATGTTCAAAACCGATTATGTTGATCGGATCAGGCCCATCGAACTCGCGAAACAGATATCGACTGACAATTTCTTTAAAGGTTCATGAGGTTGCGAATATAAATTATATAGGTTACAGTTCATCGAAAGAACTTGTCAGTCGATTCGTTTTGTAATAAGAGCCACGTCCCATCGACGCGGGCCCCGTCCGATTGCGGTGCGGCATCGCAACTGCTAGCTACATAAAAATAATTATTACAGTTAAAGAGACTCGAAATAAATAATAAATTACTATCTTAAACCCTTAAATATAGATCACGAGCGCCTTCTCGCGGTACGTTACCGAGCGCGGATAGGCAGTATGAAATAAATAAAATGTTCTATAAGCTAACTTTACAGAGACCACCGCTCGGCGGAGGATCGCATCGGGAAGACTTCCGCGAGCTACGTAATAAATATCTAACAATATAAGGTGCCATTTACAAGTGCGTGCCGATAACTAAAAGATTTACGTAAATCACTATATTCACACCGCAAACTTTCGAGACGCCAGTAAACACTTCTTGAAACTTACAAAAATACCGGGCGTACAGAAGCGAGAAGTATCGACAAACTGGAGATCATCGTTGAGCGAGTGTGCGGGACGCGCGGCGTTGGCGGCTGGAAGACGTCGAGTAGGCACTGTGGTGACAGACGATTCTTACTCTATGATCAGTATAATTTAACTTAAAGACTAGGCGAACGCGAGGTCCTAGGCGATGATGAGGTCGCCGAACGCGGAGGAAAGACGGTTGAACACCGGCAGCCGGTCATCTTCGGGGTCTGGAGAGGGCGCGCGGCGGAAGGCGAACGCGGTGGCATGCGCGGGCGGCGACAGCGCGGGCGGCGAGTGAGGGGCCAGCGGCGACTGTGGCGCGATCGGGGAGTGCGGCGACCGGGGCGAGCGAGATCCGTCACTCATGTACGAAGCCATCGACCCACCCGACGACAGCGATGCTATGGAGCCTCCGGGCGAAGACGGCTCGCGGCGTCTGGCCTCCTCCGCGTTGTGCACGAAGTGGCAGCGAGGGCCGTACGGGCAGAAGCCGACAGAATGGAAGGTGCGGCACAGCTCCGTCTTGTACTTGGGGTGGCGCTGGAGGTTGCGTAGTTCGCGGATGCCGTGGGCGAATTGGCACTTGTCTCCGTATTTGCAGACGCCGGCTTCCTCAAAAGGTCTGCAGAGCTCGGTCTTGTAGCGGCTGGTGGCCGGAGGCGGGGGCGCGGGCTCGCTGGTGGTGCGCTCAAGGCGCCGGTGCCCCAGGCGGTCCAGTAAACCGGCCAGCGCTCGGTGTGCGGGCACGGACGTCGCCCGCGCCAGGACTGGGTGCTGCTCCCAAGAAGTACTGGTCGCTGTGGCCCCGCTGACGCCGTTCAAAGCACCCGTCATCGTCTGCACTGGACGAGCTTGATTCTGAAATAGAAAGAGAAATATTTGTTAATACTCGTGTTGTATAAGATCACGCGTTTTGGATTGCTGTCAGAACTTGGTCGGATTTGTACCGGTTTGAAAATATAACTCGATAACAAAAATCCGATATCAAAACGACTTGTTAAACCCAATATTTGAACTATAAAACCTTTTCCACATTAGTACAAAGATAAATCAAGGTTTAGTTTTTGTGTCGTGCTATTTTCGACCTTCTTTCAAAAATATTTCGTTTATCTTAGTTTCCCAATTCATATTTTTTGTTGTGGAAAAAAAACACACAATCTGCCCCAGAGGGTCTGGTACCTGCCAAGTTTAACAAAAAACATACCCCTGAAGGGAGGCTGATTTCATCGTCTACCTGCGCGGATACATCTCGTTTTCACTAATGGGCCCCATGTTAAAATGGTTAATACTTCCAATTAACTAAATCTCAAAGTGGTACTTTAGTGCCCCGGGGTGTGTAGAATTTTAATGGTAACTTTTATTTATAACGGCCGATGCTCGTCCGGTTGCCTATTATGAATTATTTATTTCTGTGGCATTTTCGGTGTTGTATTTTTGAATGCGTCCGAGGCTCGTCGTGCCGCGAGACTCGAACAGCGTCGTCTAGATGCAAATTGCGGGGGCATCTTTTGTTTTCTCGACCGCCGAACTTCACAGGCCGTCTGAACATCGCAGTCTATCACCATAACAATGCTGTCGTTCACGACAGGCAGACGACAAGCGCATGCGCCACAATCGAGGTGATTGTATACTATTGTTCGAGTGTCGACGCTCGTCGCGCCGATGCGACACATGATTGTAACCCGACGATACTTTATCGTATCGTCGCGCTAGGGGCAACGGTCTGCTTCTACTATTAATAACAGTACTACAGTATTTATCTACAGAGCTCGCACACCTGCATGTTACAGGTAGGTATACTATTCGATAGAGAACAAAAATCTCACACGGAGGTTTTTAAAGAGAAAAGACCGGGCTGTGATAGGACATTCAACATTCTCATAGGTTTTGGAATTAGCTTTGAACTTTTGATGAGCATGAAGCTTGGGACGGGATACGAGCTGTATACATAATGTATGATACGCCACATCTTGTATGCGGCCTCAATCGGTGTGAACGACATGTCATTGTATATTCCATTCGCCTCCGGCTCAGTCCAGAGATCGTAAACAGTAAACACGCAACACTTGTGTTTTAGAATATACCAGACAAATTACTTTATTATTAATATGTATCGTCTTGTTTGCTATGTCATTATACGTCGCTTACGTGTTTGAAGACAGTTGTAATAAACATATAAAATCTAAAAACGTTCTAGGAAGCCAGAGTGACAATTGTTTAATGTCTGGTATAATCTTCATATATTGATTGTTCATGCTGTGGTGTGTGAGGAAACTGTTAGAAGTTGCGGTTAGTAGCCAACGTTGGGTAAACAATTACACACGCTCGCTTTTAGTGTTGCTATGAGTACCTATTGTTCGGCCTATGAGCAATAACCGACCGAAGGCGGTAAAGGTTGTGTCTATGGCACTTGTCCTTCGCCGGAGATTGTTCCTGAGGTTCCTCCCGCCCGCGCTAGTATGCTTAACATAATTTACGTGACTAAACAAGACTTTACGAATAGGTTGTCGTGATTTACCGACCGACGGATGCGGACGGTTCACTCTGTGTAAGATAAAGGCCACAACACCATAGGTACTATATAAACAATTAAGTCGCGTGGGCTATATAAATATAAATAATGAACACGATAACAGTCGTTAATGAGATAAGACAGTTATATGTAACCACAATAACAAGCAAGTAAGTACATTTTGATGTTTAATTTAATAAAGTACATACTTATAAGAGAATAATGATTAAGTGTCAAATTGGAAAATCTTACTAGCAACGCAGGTGTCATCCAAAGGTGATTAAGTTCTTGATTTCTTACGACCAAGCGCTTAACATCCAATATAGTACTGATGCGAAAAAAACTGCTCTGAATTATTTTAAACCGATATGAGGATTTATGTGGCACAATATGTTGTGATGTAATGTAACAATGTGGCGCCGTAGTTGTCAAAGGCGAAAGTGTAGCAAACGAATTACGTGCCTGTGTAATCTCGGGTGAAATGTTCCAGTGAGAAGCCAAGGGTTAAGTCGTTGGTCGCGAAGTGTCGAAGGAAAACGGCGGACGCGTAATTAGAGAGTTATCAGAGCGGAACATTGGTTAAACGCTGCTTTCCATCGACCATTGCGCCCGCACAACTGAGCTCCAGGGAAAATTGTAATCACTGTCCATTTCAAACGGCCGCGCTCGGTGAGTTCGAAACCGAGGGCAATCAGACGCACCTCAAACCGCCGCTGTTTATTACAATAACATAACATATAATGCAACATACGTACGTCCAACACACGTGAAGTCATCACTTCACATCGGCGTTTACATTTTACAGGGCAACAAACTAATCCATAACACAACACGGGTGTTTGTTTAGTAAATATAATATCGGCTGGAGGAAGGCGCAACAAATTTCCCGAGCCTGGCACAGGTCGCACCTCGTGAACTTGTGTGTTGTTTTGGTTAGCATCTACAGTTGTCAACTTGACAGACACGAAGCTCGCTCGCTCAGGACATCATGTTTATACTGTCAATTATGTAGCCAAGACATAGAGCAACGCGGCCGACGCGGCCAGGAGGGGAGTAGGCATTCACAGCGTTCCCCTGTGCCGATTTTCTCCCGCTGTTGGGCCAACACACGAACTAAAACTAGTTGCGCGTCGGATATTTCACTAGACTGAGTCAAGTCACGCGAGTGTATTTTAGAGATCAAAAATGCCAAAATGTTATGTAATTTGCTGTAAAACATAATCTGGAATATTAAACTTACAAAAGGATAGTGTTAAATTTGACATATAAGTAGAATTAATACTATTTCTATTTAACCACTTTTAAACACATCATTCATATTATTTTGTTAAAATTCAAACGTCTGACTTGTTTGACAAAACAATCGACTCGGCAGTACAAATATCTGATCTGTCAATAAAAATCCTAAGTTTCATCTATCTTCTATCTCACCATATGTATGTGTGAGTGTCGTTATTACATTTAGTTTTTGCGAAAGTATGTTGAACTGCATTTGTGTGCATATGTCATTATGGCTACTCCCCTGCTAGCCGCGTCGGCTGTCTTGCTCTATGAGCCAAAAACTAGCAAACTTTTTTGAACGCATGGCTTTGAACGGATACGCGGTGGTGCGATGTGTGGTAGTCGTATGACAGGTGAAACAACAATAAACACAGTAGTGTTGATAAGATAAAAGAAATTATCAAATAATTTCCTAATGTAAATACATAATATAAATTTCAAATCGGTTAGCAACATACTCATGCCGAGTAATCGAGTATGTCGTCCTCGCTCAATAATTATGGCAAATTTCCTCTTGACACTGAACACAAAAGTAAACGTTATGTGAATAGTTTTAAAGCATGACATAAGCAACCTCAATTACAGTCGTAAAATATTGAAAGAGTAAACATTAGCGGACTATTCAGAGGTTTATATGAGCGAACAGAGGGCAACGACTTCCAAAGGCGAAACAAATGTTAAACCTTTTGTGAACGACCCGAAATATGAAGGTGCAGACGCTTCGACGTTCTTGTAATAAACGAATTCCTAAGACAGATTGCCTTAAATTAGCAACATAATTATAATATTATAAATATTAGGATATATAAAAGGAGTTGAAATAACTTGGCAGATCTTATTACAACATGTTTGCACACTTTTGCAATTATCTGTAAATTTTACGCATCTGACGATATTTGTTATCTTAGCTCGTGGAGTCGCTAAAAATATTCATTTCCAGATAACCTCAGAGGGTGTTGACATCATTACAAACAAAGAAAACTGATTTGGGTTAAGAGTTTTCAGTAACATTATACATAACGGTAGCTTCCGAAATAATTTGAATGACAATTTCGTTTCCCAAAAGTTAACTGGAACCGTAAATCATGAATTTGGAGCGTCCACAAAGCTTTGTGCAGATATTAATAGCGAGCATAATTTAAACTATTAAGACAAAGTGTCTCGCAACAATTGATACAGCACCGCCTGCACTGCTCGCTCAAACTGAGAACCGAGAACTGCTTAATTGTCGTTTAATTGGTTCTAATCAAATGCGTTCTATATTTAAATGAACTTTTAACGATTTATAATTGGACAACAAGTTTGTACAGTCTTTTCATTCGTGTGAAATCCGTGAAAGAGTTTCGTTTAGGAAAATAATGTTTCATATTTGATGTTTTGAATAAAAGTTCAAAGAAGAAGCTTGACAAAGCTAGCTTCGAAAAGAAAAAAATATATATCCCACCATATATGTAATCATTCCATTACACACGTCTAAAGTCTTCTACGTCTATACCTCTTAAAATGTTACCATTTGCGTTTATACAAGTGCAAGTTATAATGTTTTTAATACTATATGACCCGGATTCGCAAGTACAAGATAGAAATTGATCCCATTTCTCTGATGAGGCAACTGAGGGTCTTGTCGATTACTCCCATCACGTTTATTGAATGATTGCGCGAAAATAACCACAGAGCGCCGAGATGTTGGGTCCCCTCCGACGTCTTGCCACCAATAATGGAGATGTAGTCATTAACCTTTCAGAATACCCTAACGCGTTCAAGTCCAGTCTTTGTTTCAGACGTTTATTCAGAAGAAATTCGGTGACTGTTTAATATTATGTATTTGCACAATGGCAGACACTTTGCGAGTTTCTGGCACTCTTGACAACAGAACACAGTTGTTACAGTTCATGTGTAATCGAGGTTATGTCCATAGGTGCAATTTTATACTAACAGCGCTTTAAAAAAAATAAAGCAATAATTCATACCATTGTCATAGCCTTGAATATGCATAATACTTTGGAAGATTTCCTACATTTGCTATTTTATGATGATATGTTTGTGTCTGTGTAGACAGAACGAT